ATCGAAACTGGCTATATACCTGTAAAACCATCAGTGAAGTACTGTATTTGACATCAGCCTAATTTTTCTTTCACAGAACTGCATATAACAAACTTAATTTATGAACTGCTCAGAATTAATACATTGATTCATTTCTACTGTTTTTCGTTTTTAAAATAATCGACTCATTTTATGATTTATATATAAAAGACACCTAACGAAGAATGCTCTTAATAGTAAGAAGACTCAAACGGTGTGTGTTTCCATTAAATCATTTTAGTCAGTAGAAGGTTACAGAGAGTGATCTGACAATTCAAGATACAAACATCCATTTTATACACGATGCCCTGTCTTCAAACAGCTTTAAAAGGAAACCGAGAGCATCATCTTTTGAGAGTAATATTGAAATACACAAAGGCAAAATGAAAATGATTCAATAAAGAATGAAATCCAGAACTAAAGTAACATCCTTACTAAAATAAGGATGTAAAGTTAAGCAAATGTTCAACTATGTTAGAAAAACAGATGTCTACTACTTTAGAACTAGGCTGCTGTAAGAGCCTCACTTCTCTAAACAGGATTGTTTCACAGATATTATTAATATTGGGTACATAATGGAAACACATTTCTTTCCACCAGTCTCCGCAAATATTCCGAATTCAAAATCTAACATCTATATTAAAATAATAATTTTGAAAATACAACCCCATGTACTTACTTTGTACTTCATACTGAACGGCTTGTCTTTGATCAGTTTTATATCCGCTCTAGTGATCACAGCGAAAGCATCTGCAACTGAGTTCTTTTCACTTTAAATAACCATCTAAGTTCGCTTTCTCTAAAAACGCAGGAAAAAGCCTTATTCCCAAAACTCCCACCAGGTTCTCTCTAGTATATATGATCCAAGAGAATTCATTTGTCCAGCATGATTGCTGAGCTCGTTTACATAATCCATCCGCTATTGGCCGGCGTCAGCTGTTCCGCCCTGTTAGAGGAAGTCCTTCGAACTGTGCACTCAACAAGTGTTGTGTTTGCGATAGTGCATTTTATTTGTGATAATGAGATTGTATGAAAGAAACGTACACTATAAAACACGTTTTATTTTCGAGTAATTGCACACATTCTTTTAATTAAATTAGAACAAACATACTTTGTGTGCAACCTAGCAATTTCAAGCGATCCTAAGTATTGGAACACATTCACTTTCCGTACATTTTACAGTTGCAAAACGCAGACAAGATTTTGGTTGCGTGTACTTTGAGTCATCTGCCTGTTGAGCTCACCCGACTTTTCGTGATCATTTGAGATGCTGTGCTGCAGCCATATTGAGTTCTACCGTATTCTTGGGATGTTCTGACACATTTTTTTCAGTATGGAAAATCCATCCTAAATTCAATTTAAATCTGGAAGATTAACTTGCCCAGTCGAAGAGTTTTTCTCCTGATGAACTCCTTTGTACTGGCCATATTTTTGAGTACTTTGTTATGCCACATTGAGACATGGCAATCAAAAATTATGGAAACACATTCTTCTACTTAAGCAGTAAAAAATGTTTTTTTTTTAATATCAGATATTCTTTCTGCTCCTGTCATAATTCATTTCTGTACAGCATGCCATCAATAAAGACGAGTGAGCCAGTTCCAGAGGCAGCCTGCCTAACATTACCTCCACCATGCTTCATACAGTAGGTGATGTGGTGGTCTTTGGAGATCCTGCAATTCATCTGCAAATTCTTTCTCCACACCTTAACCTCTCTATCACTTTGGTAAAGGTGTATCTGTCTACAAAACCTCATTCCAAAACTCTCCTGGCCTATCTTTGTACTCCATATTTGTACTCCTGAGCAAATCCTGAAGTCTGGAGGAGGCATGTTATGGCTTGACCATGAATTGCTGCCTCTGGAAATCTTCTCACTTCTCACAGTGTGTTGCTGTGTCAGACATTAAACATAGCAGAACAATGACGATACACAGTGGAAAATCACCTGTTTTGGGGTGTAAAGGTTTGGGTTTAAGCGTTGTTTTAAAAAAAGTATCTTCTTGACTCAAAGACTTCTTCCACAAGCGGTGTCTTAAAAACGTCTTAGGCAAAATTCAGAAATATTGTCTCTACCCAGAAACAAAAAATGATCATGAGAATAAATGAGTCATTCTCTTGCTGTTTAAACTTTCCCTTCCATAACTATTTCACTATGAGTCCTGAAGGCAGTTTTTAATGTCTATACACCACTGTGACTGTTCATAGGATCAGGCTCAAAAATGTATCATGCAAAGATGGAAACTACAGGGCTTCCAGCAAAGACCAGAGCATATGTTTAACAAATTGGATAACTTTGGGTTATCAAAGGTAACCAACAATCTACAGTCACAGCAGTGACTCCAGCCAAATTTGAAGAAAGACTGGAATAACACTGCAGTGACTAGAATGGACTGTACAGTATGTTTGGCTAAATCAGACTGAGTGTCGATACTGTTTTCCCTGCTCCCTGCCCCTTCTTAACGACCCTGTCTTTGTTCTGCCATGTGTTACTTATCTGCTGGTTTCCCTCTCTCCCTCATACCTGAAGAAGGCTCCAGAGAAAACGTTATGACTCTTTTCTTTTCCTATCAGCATTCAATAAACCTTTACCTGTTCATCTGCAGCATGTGCATGCTGACATGGCTACATACTCAAACTAAATCAGACTTATCACCACAAGTTGTCTAAATGTTGAATTGTGCTTCAAGTTTTTGTTTGTGGAAAAACCTTAAACCTTTAATGTACAGAAGACAAAC